AGTCTGGTGAGAGAGTACCGGACACGAGCAAGACACTGCAAGCTGACCAGACGCAGACACCCGACTCGACGCAGCCACGTGACCTGACTCAGCCACCTGTGCAGACGCAGTGGTCAGGGTGTACAGACCGGACCCAGGCTGACGAGTGAACGTAGCAAGGTGACGGCCAGTCCGTGAGCACTTACAGATCGCCACACGCTGTCCTCCAGGAATGAAGGTGTCAACCCATTCATCCTGGAGAACTGCGTTCCTCAACAAGTTCGTAGAGAACGCGGGGAGGTGGAGACCTGAGAGAGACCCGGAGGGGACTGCCGGACACGGGAGGATAGTGGAGGCTCGCGCAACTAGTGGGCCCCCAGTGGGGTCAGCCAGTGAGACTGGGACATGTGCTGCGAGTGGTGTGACTGTGGTGCAATCACGAAAGAAGCAACGTGACGCGCCTGAGTCAAGCGTGAAAGTGTGCAAGGCCTCAGCTGAGGCAGGACCTGTGGCAGTAGACGCACTAGCACCTAGAGCGTCGGCAGACTCACGAGCACCTAGAGCTGCAGCAGACTCACCAGCACCTGGAGCGGCAGCAGACTCACTAGAACCGAGAGCAACAGCCTCTACACGACCAGGGACGCATCGCTGAGAAGCACAGTCGCTAGGTCGCTGAGGCCACATAAAACCAAAACCTCCACCACCTGGACGGGCTCGCTGAATAACCCACTCACGAAGCTGCTGAGGGGTGGGGTCGTCCGGGAGAGGCACTGACCGTTGCTGTCCACCCCTAGCCGCTGCAACTGCCGTGATAGTGGCCATGACAGGCAGTGACGGTCAGTAGTAGGTCCAGCACCTCCAGCACCAGCAGCACCTCCAGTACTCCCAGCCGCACCTCCAGCACCTCCAGCACCAGCAGCACCTCCAGCACTCCCGGCAGCACCTCCACCAGCAGCAGCAGTAGCACGAGCAGCAGCAGCAGCAGCAGCAGTAGTAGCAGCAGGGCGGCTCGGTGGGGCTGGGCAGCAGCACCTCCAGCACTCCCAGCAGCACCTCCACCAGCAGCCGCAGTAGCACGAGCAGCACCAGCAGCAGCAGCAGTAGTAGCAGCAGGGCGGTTCGGGTTGGGCAGGGCGGCTCGGGCTGGGCGGCGCGGCTCGGCCTGGGCTGCGCGGACAGCAGGGCGCGAGCTGTGCAGGGCAGCAGGGCGCGACGCGCGGGCTGCAGCAGGGCGCGACGCACGGGGCAGCAGAGCGCGACGCGCGGGCTGCAGTAGGGCGCGACGCGCGGAGCTGCAAAGCGCGACGTGCGGGCTGCAGCAGGGCGCAACGCGCGGGCTGCAGTAGGGCGCGACGCGCGGAGCAGCAGAGCGCGACGCGCGGGCTGCAGCAGGGCGCGACGCACAGGGCAGCAGGGCGCAACGTGCGGGCTGCACCAGGGCGCGACGCGCGGAGCAGCAGAGCGCGACGCGCGGACTGCAGCAGGGCGCGACGCGCAGGGCAGCAAGGCGCAACGTAAGGGCTGCAGCAGGGCGCGACGCGCGGAGAAGCAGAGCGCTACGCGCGGGCTGCAGCAGGGCGCGACGCGCAGGGCAGCAGGGCGCAACGTGCGGGCTGCAGCAGGGCGCGACGCGCGGAGCAGCAGAGCGCGACTTGCGGGCTGCAGCAGGGCGCGACGCGCTGGGCACCAGGGGCGTGCGGGGCAAGGGCTGCTCGCGGGCAGCAGTGGCGCGCGGGGCAGGGGCTCCTCGCGGGCAGCAGTGGCGCGCGGGGCAGGGGCTACTCGCGGGCAGCAGGGGCGCGCGGGGCAGGGGCTGCTCGCGGGCAGTAGGGCGCGCGAGGCAAGGGCCGCTCGCGGGCAGTAGGGGTGCGCGGGGCAAGGGCTGCTCGCGGGCAGTAGGGGCGCGCGGGGCAGTAGCCGCTCGCAGGCAGGATGGGCGCGCGTGACAGCTGGGCAGTGCGCTAGGGCAGGCAATGCGAGTAGCTGCAGGGCAGCGCGACACTGAGCGAGCAGGGCCGGACAGCGCAAGGGCGCTTCGGGCAGGAGAGAGCGGAACTATCGGTGGGCCCTAAAAACCTAACAGGTTTCCTGCTCTGAATACCATGTCAGAATAACTGTGCAGGAATGATTGGATTAGCAAGGGTTGGGGTACAAGTACTAACCCTAGAAGTGCTGTACCCCATAAGGAGTGCCCCACAATAGCCTACAAGTAAGATTGTACTTTGACACACCGAACAGCCACCCCTTCACTGTAGTCGTCTTGTCCATAGGGTTGAACGGGGGCAGGTTGACGGGTTTAATCTTGATCGTCGTTACTGCAATTGGCGCTGCTGCCACTCGCTGCCTGTCCTCCTCTTCGAAGTTACGTGTGAGCGCATCCAATGGATTGCTCACGGCCTGACTGTTGCCGTCGCCTTCGTCATCGGGCGACTCCTGATGCGCTTCACCTTGCGCCTGGCGTAGCTCGGCGTTTTCTCCACATAAATATGTCACTTCCACCATTAATGACTTCATGCCCTCCTGCATCTCTGCCACTTGTGCCATCAATTTGTTAACCGCCTCCTGATCAATGTGTCTAGCACTACGTCTGGTGAGCAAGCGGGTCTCTGTAGCCTTCAGGCGAATGGAAAACACGAACTATCGGAGTCGGGCAGGATTGAATTAACAAACCTTGCAGCCAACCGTCGTGTAGTCCACTATACCAGCCACACCCGTGACACCAAACTACCCTCGAAAAGCAGGGTGTGTCAAATTGATATTTGTTGTGTAGGCTGTAGTGGGGTACTCAACAGAGAGTACAACCCGTTTAGGGTTCCTACATGTATCCCACCTGCCTGCTAGTGCAAACCCTCTTCTCTGTTCCATTCCTGCCTGCTTATTCTAACAAGGTGAACTAGGAAAATAGCTCTGATACCAGGTATTATGAGTTGCAAAAGAGAGTGCGCAGATTAACGAATAACGAGAGGTTAAAGAGCTAGTTAGGCTAGTTCAGCTAGTTAGGCTCAGGAGCCATGGCTAGAGTAGCTTAGTAGCTTAGGTTTAGGGTTGAAGAGGGATGTTGAGAGAGTTCCAAAGGAGAAAAGGTGTTCAATAAAGAGAGGAGGTACAAGGATATAAGCAAAGCAAGCAAGGTGCACCACCAAACAATGTAACACTACACTAACTACTGCTACAAGCAGTTTATATAAGAAATATATTTCAACACACCCCCGAAACTGCTTGCAGCAGGAAGCCAATGCAGAGACACCCCCCGAAGGGGTACACCAAGCGCAGCAGAAGGAGAGGGCAAGTGAGGAGGAGGAGGAAACTGGAGAGGAGAGGAGGTGGGCGGCCGCTGAAGCTGCTGGCACTGGTCGCAAACGGCGTAACTGGCTCTGCTCGCCGGCAAGAGCAACTGACCCTCTGGGGACCGGAGCAACGGGTAACCGGAGTAACTGGCTCGCTCGCCGGCAAGAGCAACTGACCCACAGGCCTCTGACGCAACGGTCTCACGGGCGACTAGAACTGCGGACATCACGGCGGCCACCCGCCCTCACCCCCCTCGGATTGTCCCACCACCCCCCGTGTCACACCCCTCTGCCCTAGCGCCACTCCCAATTCTCCACCACACCCTCCCCCCCCTTCAGCTGCAGCTGTAGCAGTGGGAGAGAGAGGAGGAAGAGCGGCAGCAGGTCACGCACTCCCTCCACCCCCATACCCCCTCTTACCCCCGCCACCCCCATACCCTCCACACGGCTGCACGCGCAGCAGGAAATTGAAGGAGGAGGGGGGGAGGGCGGGCGGCGTCGCGACGTGCAGGGCGCGGGCGGGCTGTGGGGCGCTCGCAACGGGCAGGGCACGGGCGGCAGGGGGGGTCCAGGAGGGGCGGCGCGCGGGTCCCCGGGGACGCCTTGACGGGCGACGGGGGGCGGCGCGCGGGTCCCCGGGGGCGCCGCGACGGACGACGGGGGGGGGGGGGGCGCGCTGGTCCTCGGGAGTGCCGCGACGAACGACGGGGGCGGCGCGCTGGTTCCCGGGGGCGCTGCGACAGGCGACGGGGGGCCGCGCGCGGGTCCCTGGGGGCGCCGCGACGGACGACGGGCCGTGAAACCGCCGCGCGCGCCCGGGGCGCGCGGCGGACAAGAAACCGCCACGCGCCCGGAGCGCGTGGCGGGCAGAAAACCGCCACGCGCCTCGAGCGCGTGGCGGGAAGAAAAATCGTCGCGTGCCACGGGGCGCGCGACAGACAGTACAGCAGCGGAAGCAAGTGGGGCCCACAGGCCAGGAGCGTAAATGCTCTGTTACCATGTTAAAGAGCTTAAGCTAGTTAGGCTTAGGAGCCATGGCTAGAGTAGCTTAGTAGCTTAGGTTTAGGGTTGAAGAGGGATGCCGAGAGAGTTCCAAAGGAGAAAAGGTGTTCAATAAAGAGAGGAGGTACAAGGATATAGGCAAAGCAAGCAAGGTGCATCACCAAACAATGTAACACTACACTAACTACTGCTACAAGCAGTTTATATAAGAAATATATTTCAACACGAGAATGTGATTGAACGAACTGAGAATACAATGGCACACGCTAATGTAGTGGCTGGCTACCCTAGCTAGGAGGGAACCTCGGGTGAGCGAGGTTGGGTGCAGGTTTGGCAAAGGGAAAAGGCTGAAGGCGACGCGAGAAGCCTCAGCAGCGTTGATGTTGGCCAAACGTGCAGAGTCCGAAAATCGGGGCTGTACGCGAAGCAGTCAACCCCGATAAGGAATTCGGGAAAATTCCTTACAGCTAGCTTCATCTATCATTAATGTTCTGGTCCGCTTTCCAGCATACAAGCAGAAAAAATAACAGCCTTTCACTTTCCAAGCTAGTCCAACACTAGAATCAGCACTTACTATGTTTTCAGCTTGCAATCTAACGAATTTTGACACAAACTAGACTGCCAGGAACACTACCTAATCAGTAAATAATACTAGTGACATCCTGTCTGTTTTTTCACACACTCCTGGCCCGAGAAATACATCGCCGCCAATTTTTCACAGGACGAGTTTATTTACTTCACGTAAGGAAGGGCCTCTTCGACTCGAACCACAACAGAGTCGCCGAGTTTCTGCACCACCACCACCCTGTCGTGCTTCCTCAGCACCCCGAGGCGCTGGCCCTGAAGAATGGCCTCTTTAAGAACCGTCTCATTAGTGGATACATCACTTTGCTCCTGTGGTGTGGGATAAGAGAGCAGAGAAGTTAGTACGGAATTACACAACCAGATGGAGAGGAGCCTGAGAAGGGCACAAAGAGTACCGCCCGCGACAAAAAGGAATTGAACAGAACCAACAAGGCCGATGAATGCAAAGGGAATGTCCCAATGTTACAGCCTCCCAACCTTGATTTGGTCCTTAACAATATCGACCAAAACTGTTCCGTGTTGTAAGTGCTTCCTTTGCTGGATTACCCTTCAACTTTATACAATACTGTAGGCATACCAGTGTCTTGGGTGTAGCCATCATGGGGATGAGCCCTCGCATAAGACAACACATGTGAGCCTGTTGTCATGGAAAGGAGAGGTAGGGGAGGTCAAGGGTTCAAGGGATGGAGACCAAGATTCATCCCCGAAAACTGGTCATGAGAAAACTGAATACAAGCAAGATGCAGCAGAGCAGCTTAAGCATGCAGCAGAGGAAACGAGTGGAGGGATGAAGAGCGGAGATATGGACAGTGCAATGCAGAGATGGAGTGCAGTGCAGTGCAGTGCAGTGCAGTGCAGTGCAGAGAAGTGGAAACTCTTCCAATTCTTGCAAGAAGACGGAGAGTCTAACAAGGTGATAGGTTGCACCGGTGCAGCACTACGGACATTGCATGCCTCCCTTTGCAGCTTCCTTCGAGAAATAATGGAATGCACTATCCCTGATTCTAACTTGCCTTCAAGGAATATCAGCTCCATAGAATTCACCCGGGTATGCAGGCCTATAAAATGCACAGAGCAGGAGAAAAGACTCACCGGGACCTCGCCTTGCACTGTCCATCTGAGCTTATCAACGTAGAGGCGTGGAATGACGAGCGTCAGCACGGGCATGGTTGGCTTGTACTTGGCCACGAGCCTGAAAGGGAGAGGAGAAAGAGGGGGTCAGGGATAGAGAGGGAAAGGGGAGGGGAGGACGTGGAATGACGAGCGTGAGCACGGGCATGGTTGGCTTGTACTTGGCCACGAGCCTGGGGAGGGAGGGGAGAAAGACAGAGGAGATATAGAGGGAGTAAGGGAGAGGAATAAGAGGAGGAAAGTGGAGGGGAGAGGCATGGAGTGACGAGCGTCAGCACAGGCATGGTTGGCTTGTACTTGGCCACGAGCCTGACATGGACGAGAGAGGGCAAGGGAGAGGAATAAGAGGAGGAAAGGGGGGGGGAGAGGCGTGGGATGATGAGGGGAATGGCTTGTACTTGGTCACGAGCCTGACATGGAAGAGAGGGCAGTGGGAGACCAATCGGTCTTCAGACATAATCTGTTGAGATCTAAGTAGTGCAGGCGGGTTTAACAGTCTAACTTTTGCTTTAAGCCTGACTAAGCTTGCTGCTCGCTGAAGGAGCAAAGGAAGCGGGTAAACAATCAGGGAGGGTGGGAGGCACAGAAAGGGGTTAGGTTACTGCAGGTACGGACGGCTCGTAGTTGGGCAAGAGGCTCGTTAAAGGGAGGGGACGCAGTGAGTGAGAGGGAGGACGAGAGTTGACCACCTGACAGGAGCGTCAGGTGTCGACCAGCAGGTGACATGCTTGAAAGAAATCATAGTTCAGTTGACTCCGGTTGACTTCGGTTGACTTCAGTTGACTTCGGTTGACTTCAGTTGACTTCAGTTGACTTCGAGTGGCTTCAGTTGACTTCAGTTGACTTCAGTTCACTTCACCTGAAAAGGTCTACAGGCGACTCACCTGGCCATTCTTCCAGAGGAGGTGAACACCACAATCGCTGCTGCGTGCACCTTCTCTGCTGTTTTCACCTGCCAGGTGAATTCCCACATCGTAAGAGAACAAGAATTAGCTATCAGAATACATTCCCACCGATACTTGAACTTCTCCGTGCCTGAAGGACAAGTGTCCGTAAGTGCTGTCGGTGCCTTTTTGAGCCCTGGCTTTTTGGGGTGCTCACAGTGTGTACAACCACCATTGCACAATTCACGTACGTAACATAAGCAATCACAATAAAAGACCTACCGCAGATGAGGCCATGGCCTCGAGCTCGCTCATGGTGGATTCCTGAGTCGACTCAAGAAGCAATATAAGCTGATTCAATAAGAGACGTACCGCGGATGAGGCCATGGCTTCGAGCTCGCTCATGTCGGTAGCTTCCTTCACCGCCTTCTTGAAATAGAGCTCCTGGTTGTACGCCTTCTCTGCCTGGAAAGGGGGGAGGGAGGGACAGATGCACAAGGTAACGATTGTGTGGAGCTCTCTCATCCTGGATGCACCTTACCCTATGACCTATGACCACCATCCTTGTTGACCGCCTTCTTGAACTCGAGCTCCTGGTTGCACGCCTTCTCTTTGTGGAAGAGAGAAGCAAGAGAGGGTAGTGAGATGCACGAGGGGATGGTTGTGTGGGAGATCTCTCATCCTTATGGAAACGGCTGGTCTGGGTGGAAACACAACCAGTTCCATTGACTGCCCACAGAGCTCAGCTCCTGGTTGTTTTGTACGCCTTCCCAGTCTGGCTCAATGGAGGAGGAATAGAAACTGGAAACTAGCACACTTGGGTTCTCACCTCCAAAATACAGCCCAGAATGCAGATGACAGAATTCACTGGGCCCACAGAGCGCATGAAAATTTCCTGGGCATGGATGAATCATGAATTAGCACGGACGATACACACATCAGCACAGACGAAACCCACCTCAGAACAGATGAGGCGCACAGTTGAAACCGTCTCGGTCGGGTACAGCCCTCTCAGGGTCTCAGCTCCCAGCATAATGGCGTCCACACCTGGACAATAAACATAAGAAACAGATAATAAGCAAACAATGAGATAAATAAAAGGGAACACAAAAACAATCTAAAAAAAAAAAAAAAAAAAAAAACACACACACACACAACAACAACAAAAGGTAAGAGGCTCAAAAACAGCTCAGGAGCGCGGAGGAAGGGGGCAGAGAGGAAGAGGGGAGGAGTGAGGCGCGAGGATGGAGGACAGAAAGCCATTATGGAGGCAACGACTTCTAAGCGACTCAGCTCCCAGCATAATCGCGTCCACACTCGGACAGAAGGGAATCAGGGGAAGAGAGGGGGAGGGAAAGGGCGGAGGAGAGGCGTGAGGGTGGAGTAGGGAGAATATCAGCACGAAGATGCAGGCAACTCCTTTTATCAAACAAACCACCATTACTCAGAGAACCCATCGCACCCAAATTCCATGATTCCCACCCACCCACAGTCCATCCTTCCACTCCACCATCCATACCACCCACCCACCATGAGCCCACCCACCCAATCCACCCATCCCACCAATCCCACTCACGCACCATCCAGCATACCGTTGGCAACGTCGGTGGCTTCAGCACGGGTGGGGTGGGGGGGCGTGTCTGCCATCGTGTCCATCTGCCATACCCGTGGCACAGCACAGCCTCTACCCAGGCACACACTACTCAACATAGGCACGTCACATCCCATCCCACACAACCCATCCCATCCACCCACCCACCGTCCAGCACAGCGTTGGGGACGTCGGTGGGGGCTTCAGCACGAGTGGGGCGGGGCGTATTTGCGATCACATGTGATACCCATTCTATTTTACAGCCGCTACTCATACACACTACCGACTGACATAGTCACTTCACAACCCATCCCGTCCACCCACCGTCCAGCACAGCGTTGGCGACGTCAGTGGCCTCGGCACGAGTGGGGCGGGGCGTGTCTGTCATCGTGTCGACCACTCGCGAGATGACACATGGCTTGCCCGCCATGTTGGCCTTGAAGATCGCCACCTTCTGCATCAGAAACACCTGTTTGCGAGGTGAAGGGAGGGAGGAAGGAGCATGTGTTACTTTGAGCCGAGTGTAGTGGGCGAGAACAAAGAGTGTGCGAGATGACGCATGGCTTGCCCGCCATGTTGGCCTTGAAGATAGCCACCTTCTGCATCAGAAACACCTGTTTTCCGGATGAAGGACGGGAGGGAGAAAGAATGAGCACGTGTTGCTTGACACATGGATTGCCCGCTATGTATGTTAGCCTTCTATATCGCCATCTTCTCCATCAGAAAAAAAAACACTCTGTTTTGAGTCGACTCAAAACACGACTCTATATCGCCACCTTCTCCATCAGAAATTGCTCAGACTGGATTGGGTAGAGAGAGAATTGTGAAACATGGGTTTGATCAGTTGTGGCAGAGCAGAACCAAAACACGGGAACCAGAGCAGAACCAAAACACGGGAACCAGAGCAGAACCAAAACACGGGAACCAGAGCAGAACCAAAACACGGGAACCAGAGCAGAACCAAAACACGGGAACCAGAGCAGAACCAAAACACGGGAACCAGAGCAGAACCAAAACACGGGAACCAGAGCAGAACCAAAACACGGGAACCAGAGCAGAACCAAAACACGGGAACCAGAGCAGAACCAAAACACGGGAACCAGAGCAGAACCAAAACACGGGAACCAGAGCAGAACCAAAACACGGGAACTAGAGCAGAACCAAAACACGGGAACTAGAGCAGAACCAAAACACGGGAACCAGAGCAGAACCAAAACACGGGAACCAGAGCAGAACCAAAACACGGGAACCAGAGCAGAACCAAAACACGGGAACCAGAGCAGCAAGTCTCCCTTGTCATCTGTGACAAGGAGAAATGGCTTGAGCTGCATGCATGTGCTAGCGGTTAAGCTACCTGGCCGGCCGGCCTCACAGTGCTCTGGTAGTAAGCAAGGCATCAGTAGTTTCTCAGAGGCATCAGTACCTTTTCTGCAGGCAGGTCGATTCCAAGATCGCCACGCCCCAGCACGAGCCCATCTGCCTCGGCCAGAATCTCATCGATCTTCCTCAGCCCCTGCTTGTGTGCACATGGAAACACACACCACGCACACGCAGGTGCACACACATGCATGCATCAAGCACCCACATGCACACAGACACACGCAGACCCCCGCCTTCCCCCCCACACACACGCACACGCACACACACACACACACACGTACGCACATGTACACATGCACAAGTCTTTCGAGCACTGTACTGTGTTGTTGTGATATGCCAATGGTTGTGCTGTGCTGTGCACACTCAAGCAAATTTACAGTGTGACCCGTGGCCTTTTTACTTTGGAAGAGTTCTAGCTGATTCAAGAAGCAACACAAAAGCACAGCACAACCAGCGGCACAAGGTGGGCGCACCTGAATGCTCTCGATCTTGGCAAAGATGAAGGACTGCGAGAGCTTGCCCAGTTGGGCGAGGTGATTGCGTGCCTGGAGGGGGTGGAGAGGGATGGATAGAGATGGAGAGGGGATGGGGAGGGATGCCCGGATGGGGATGGGATGAGAGGGGAATAAGGAGGAAATATGAGCTAACATAGTGACAAGAGGTAGTTGCGTGTGACCCCTGGCAGGGTTGGGGAGGATGGCCCGAATGGGGGGGGAGAGGGAGGGATGGGGAGGGATGGGGATGGATGGGGACGGATGGGGACGGATGGGGAGGGATGGAGAGGGATGGGGAGGGAAGGATGGGAAGGGATAGGGAGGGATGGAGGGGGATGGGGAGCATCTGTGCATTCTCTCACTCACATAGTTGTGTGACAAGCAGAATGTGTGTGGTTTCTTGTGTAAGATCGACTCACGTATCTGACGTCCTCTGCGTTGCGAGTGAAGGAGAGGAAGATGATGTGCGGCAAGCAGTTCACTCCCCACGTGGACAGGTGGCGCTCATCCACCTTGGAGAGAATGGGCATGTCCGTGTCCACCTGTGATGTGTGAGAGGAGGGTATGCGCAGAGGTGTGAGAGGGCAGCCACACACATGATTGCAGCAAGCAGCGCACCCCCCACATGGACAGGTGGCGCTCGTCCACCTTGGAGAGGATGGGCATGTCCGTGTCCACCTGAGATGGTTGGAGGAAGGCGGGAGGGAGGAGGGTGACTGTGTGAGGCCAACATTCATTGAAAAGAATGACAGCCGCGTGACTGCAGCAAGCAGCCACGTGAGGGGAGGAGGGTACAGGTGGCGCTGGTGACGGCAACAAGCAGTTCACTCCCCATGTGTACAGGTGGCGCTCGTCCACCTTGGAGAGGATGGGCATGTCCGTGTCCACCTGTGGTGGGATGAGTAATAGAAGAGAGGGGGCAGTGACAAATACGTGTTTGCAGCAAGCAGCGTTGAGGGGGATTGGAAAGGTGGCGCTCGTCCACCTTGGAGAGGATGGGCATGTCCGTGTCCACCTGTGATGTGATGGGCGAGAGTGGGAGGGGAGGCGCGTGTGAGGGGACAGTGACAGCCATGTGTTCCCAGCCAGCAGCTCTGCAAGTCTGAAGTGGAGGGAATGGGAGAGAGTCACGTGAACAAGTGGCGCTCGTCCACCTTGGAGAGAATGGGCGTGTCCGTGTCCACCTGTCTGCGTGAAGGAGGGCGAGAGGGGAGGATGGCGTGAGGAAGGAGGGTGTGAGGGGAGGATGGCGCATGGAAGGAGGGTGTGAGGGGAGGAGGGTGTGAGGGGGAGGAGGGTGTGAGGGGGAGGAGGGTGTGACTGTGCGAGTGAGGAGCACATGCCTTGCAGAGGATGGGCATGTCCGACAGTGTCCACCTGTGACAGATGGAGCACGTGTGAGAAATACACAAGGGAACAAACCCGAGCAGGTGCAGGTGCACCATGAGATGGGCCGTACCTGAGCAGGGTGAGTGAACAGTGAAGAAGTCCCGTGTTGGTCACCGTGCACACTATGTCGTCCCCCTTCACCTCCTTCTGAATCACCTCACCATGGCATGGGGCGTACCTGGGCGGCATGGGGCGTACCTGGACGGCATGGGCCGTACCTGAGCGGCATGGGCTGTACCTGGGCGGCATGCACGGTGAAGAAGTCCCCTTGCAGCTCTGCTGTGTTGGTCACCGTGCACACTATGTCGTCCCCCTTCACCTCCTCCACCTGCAAGGCTCTGACTGTGACTGTGTGCAGCATGGGATGGGTGGGCCATACCTGAGCAGCGTGAACAGTGAAGAAGTCCCCTTGCAGCTCTGCCGTGTTGGTCACCGTGCACACTATGTCGTCCCCCTTCACCTCCTCCACCTGGACATGCGTGGGGAGGAGTTGAGTGTGGGGAAGAAAGAGTGGTATTGAAGGATAAAAAGGGAGGGAAGCTGGTTCGAGCACCTTAAGACCGTGCACACTATGTCGTCCCCCTTCACCTCCTCCACCTGCGGGCGAGTGGGGTGGAGTGGGCAGGAAGAAGAGGGGGAAAAACGGGGGGAAGAAGAGGGGGGGGTGGGGGGGCCAAGAAGTGGGGGAGGGGGGGAGGGAGGGGAAAGGAGAAAAGGGAGGAGAGGTTTTAGATTTTACATACAAATGTCGTCCCATAACCCTTCACCAGGGATCTAGTGGGGCTGAGTGGGTTTGGGTGGAGGGGAAGGGAATAGTCATGTTGTGCTGAGCAGCGAAGAAAATGGCTACGAGGAGAAGGGGTGTGGGGAAAAGGACGGGATAGGGTGGCAAGGGGGAGGTATGGGGGAGGGGGAAGCAGAGAGAGAGTGTGGCAGATGGCTGGTGAAGGGCAGAAACGAGAGGGAGAGATGAAAAGACAGTGAGAGGAGAGGAGTTGAGTGGAGAAGAAGGGTACGTGGGAAAAAAACAAGAAAAAAAAAAAAGGGGGGGGGGGGGGGGGGGGGGGGGTAGGCAACTTTTCATGCACTTCACACATATTCTTAACAGCCTGCTCACCTTGCGCCAAACAGTGCTCACCTTGAGCCACACGGACGTGGTCTCGCTGCCTGTGAAGAGGTAGCGCCCCACAAACACCTCGTCCCCTGGCTTCACCGCCTGGGGTGGGATGTGCAGGGAGGGAGAAGATAGATAGAGGGGCGGTGGGGTCTGAAGTGAGTGGCTGAAAATATGTGCCTGGTGGTGGTGGTGGTGGTATCACTGCCTGTGAAGAGGTAGCGCCCAACAAACACCTCGTCCCCTGGCTTCACCGCCTGGGATGGGTAGAGACGGGGGAGGACAGGAGGTGGGGAATGAGAGCTGGTGGTCCCACTCTCTGTGAAGAGGTAGCGCCCTGCAAACACCTCGTCCCCTGGCTTCACCGCCTGAGGTGGGTAGAGACGGGGGGGGGCAGGAAGCGGGGGGTGTTGATGTGATTGATTGAGAGCATGTGCTTGCTGGTGGTATCACTGCCTGTGAAGAGGTAGCGCCCCACAAACACCTCGTCCCCTGGCTTCACCGCCTGGGGATTGCAGGTGCGGGCAGGAGAGCAGGGAGCAGGGATGAGACTGGATGAGAGCATGTGCTTGGCTTCGCGGCTTGAGAGATGGCAGGGAGGGAGCGATACTGACGGAGAGGACAGGAAGATGGTGAGGAGATGAGAGGCACGAGTGCACTCACACGCTCGCACGCACACACACACACACACACACACACACACACACACACACACACACGCACACGCACACGCGCACGCACACGCGCACGCGCGCACACACGAGCGCGCACACACACACACACACACACACACGCACACGCACACGCACACGCACACACACACACACACACACACACACACACACACACACACATAGGCCCATCCCCCTCACCCGGGCGAGCTGGGGGCAGGCGAGGGGCAGCGCCCCCAAACCACCCGCCCCCCTTCCCCCCCTCCCCCTCCTCACACAGGCCCCTCACATCCCGCTCACCTTGGCGAGTTGGGGGCAGGCGAGGGGCAGCGCCTGGGCAGTGACGGGTTGGTCCTTGTCGCCTGACAGAACCACCGTGCTGCCCGCTGTCATCGTCACTGTGGCGTTGCTGCTGTTGGCGATGGTGATCTCGGGCCCGTGCGTGTCGTACACAGTCTGTGGTGGAGGCGGGATGAGAGAACGAGGAGAGAGTGTGCGTGAGGCTATGCTGGTGACCATTGCTGCGATGCCGCTGTTGAAGATGGTCATTTCGGGCCTGTGCGTGTCCTACACGGTCTGAGAGGGAGGTGGGGTGGGGCATGAGGAGGCGGGCAGGAGGCACATGAACGAGATACACACACAGATGGATGCACGAATGCGTCTAGAGCCATCGTCACCGCCGCGTTGCTGCTGTTGAAGATGGTGATTTCGGGCCCGTGTGTGCGTGTCATGTCATACATGGTCTGAGGAGGCGGGGCATGAGATGAGAGGATGTAGGGTGAGTGCGGTGGTAAGAACTAGAATTCACTCGTGTGTGAAATTATGGTGGTGAGTCGTGACTGTCGTGAGCAATAAGTATCATTCTACTCTACTGCACACATGCGATACTCTCTCGCTCTCTCCTCATTGCACTTCCTGAGAGACGTCTGTAAGCCACTCTGGCGGGCCGCTTACATCGTGCTCTGACAAATGCCTGAGGCAATGCACTGGGCTTTTTTTTCTTTTTCTTTTCGTAATTTCTCTCAGGGTGTCAACTGTTTCTTTTTAATGTTTTCCTTGTACTGTACTGTACTGTACACACTGTAGCGTAGTGTTCATCACGATTAACCCCATCTTACCGCGCACATGCGGTGCGTTTTCTTCATGGCGGCCCGCAGGTTCTCGTACGTCTCCTGGTGGTTCTCGAGGTCGCTCACTGAGAAGTCGAATCGTGCAGCTGCAAAAGGTTGGGGGACGAGGACGACAAACAGCATTGCACGTGGGGAGAAGAGGAGAGAGAGGAGGAGAGATAGGGACGAAAGTGAGCCTTCTACATGCGTGATTCGCGTACGTCTCCTGGTCTGGTGGTTCTTCTGGTCGCTCACAGAGAAGTCGAGCCGTACAGCTGTCAGCGGGGGGGGCGGGGGGGGGGGGGGGGGGGGGAGGGGGGAGGGGTGACGGGTGGGGGGAAGGGGAGACGGGTGGGGGGAAGGGGAGACGGGTGGGGGGACGCGCGGCAGTGAGGGAGACGCAGAACGGTGGGAGATGAGAAGTGAGTGAGCCTTCTAGGCGCCTCCGGAAATGTCGTTCACTAAGAAAGCAAACCGTGCAGCTGCACAGTACGTACGGGGTCAGGTCGAGGGGGTGACGAGGGTTGGGTTGAGGGAGGAGAAGGAAGGGAGGGATAGGGGGGGTCTGGTGGGGGTTTGAAAAGGGGGGGAGGGGGGGGAGGGGACAGGGAGGTGGGAGGGGACATGGAATCACGCAATCAAGGCTGCAGAAAGGGGAACGACGATTCTTGACCCCGTACGCATACCAAGCTCACACCCTTACCAATCAACCCCGTTCCGTTTTCCCACCTCTCATTCCAATGAGAATTACGCGAATGCGCCATGCCTATCCTCCGCACACCTCCCCACCCCCCGGTTTTCCTCCCCAAACTCTTTGAAACCCATCAGCGCACCTTTCGAACAGAGCCAACGATTGCTCCGCGGTCTCTGAGTTTCCGCCCCCCGTTCCCCCCATCTCCGTTCCCCTTCTCTCCCTAAGCTTTTGCCACCAACCCATCCCCATTCCTCCGTTCCCCTCATTCCAGCACACGCGCACCTGTCAAGCCCGCTTCGAGCAGAGCCGAGAGTTGCTCCACGGCCTTCGAGTTTCCGCCTATCGTTCCCCGCACTCCCACTCCTTTTCTTTCCCTGCGCCTTTTGCAAGAACCCATTCTCCTCCTCCTCTTCTCCTAACCCCAGCACTCGCGCACGCACCTCTCATGCCCGCTTCTAACAGAGCCGACAATTGCTCCACGGTCTTTAAGTTGCTGCCTACCGTTCACCGCACTCCCACCCCTCATGTTTTTCCACGTTTTTCGTAAAAAAAACAACCCCCCCTTCCCCCAGCACACGCGCACCTGTCATGCCCGCTTCGAGCAGAGCCGACAGTTGCTCCACAGTCTTCGAGTTGCCGCCTACCGTCCCCACGATCTTGGTCAGGCATGGAACCGACCTCTGGCGTTCACAACGTACGCGATATAGACAATTACGGAAGGTGAGCAAGGTGTGACGCCTAATGAAATGGGAAGGGGGGTATTAGAGCATGTAGTACTGATGCTTTCATGAGCGACTCAAAACCCCGTAGATCGTCGGAGGGGGGAAATGTACGATAATGAAGAGAATTGTGATCGCGAAGGCATTTGTGACATTAACGAAAAGAAAGTGGAACTCGTAAAGGTACAAGCGATAGCAATGCAGACACATGTGATGGTAATGACGATACGTGCAATTTACTAAAACGAGGAGCAGTTGTGACGACTGAGGTATTACGTGATAGTGAGAGTGTTCCAATATCGAGGCCAGTCGGATCGGCTCCTCCAGAAGCAACGGCGACGTCTGTAGCAGCGGAAGAACAGCAAGTCAGGGTTGAAGTAGACTCAAAAAAGTTGGCATAAATCAGTACGAATCCTCTTTACAACTCTCGCACTTGTCGGGTTAACCGCCTAAATCTCTGCATCACGCATTTCACGAGTGGATGCGTCACCTACCATCGACCATTGACGATAGAATTGGCCACCTACAATTAGCGAATTGCGCGAGGCATCTACGGAAGGCCTTCCCGCGCCGACGCGCACAGTGAATCCCTCCATGACTGGGATGCACGGAACGAGGTTATATCACTCCGGAATTAATCGGCGGTTCCGTGAGCGAAATGCGGCAAGAACATGCGAGGAGCGCCTGCGACGAAACAATGGCTCCTCACTCCACTACACACAGGCCCAGTTGGCTGTTCCCAGCAACCCCCCAGGGCAGCCAGTTCACTGTGCACATTTGAGAGGGAAATTGATAACTTCAAGAAAATGGCCAGGAGCACCAGCTTTTGGCTGGAAAGAAGGTCTGGCGCTGGCTCGGTTTGGATAAGCCACCACTTTTTGCCAAATTGGAGCTTTGGCAGATATTCCGAGGTTGACGAGTTCGTTCACCACGAACCAAACCTCCTGCATTCTGTGTGGTCTGCCTTGTCGAGCCAGTCTACGAGGCTAGCTTGATCTGGTTCTACCTTCGAGGTTGACGGTTTTGAAGAGTGACTGGTTGACCTCGGCGATAAGGATGTATGACTCCTTTCATCTGAATCGTCCCTACCAGGTCAGCATGGCGAGATCGATGGCTCACGTTGGGATACAAGCAGAAAGAGTGATGCTCCCAACGATAACGATGGGGCGAGCAATTCGGAAGTTGAGGTCAGAAATTGTGGAGCCACGGCGCGGGGTAACAATGAAACCACATTATAAGCTACAGCAAGAAGATCTGGTGGAGCCCTAAATTTCCTGTTTTAAGTTTTGTTTGTTACTAATGCTTACTAGTGCAATTTGTCAGAAGTCCACTGTGTTAGAATAAGCAGGAATGAATGATTGAACTAGGCAAGAGGTGAGTACAAGTAGAGGAAACCTAACCCTAAAGTGTTGTACTCACTAAGGAGTGACCCTACTGTAGCCTAGAGATACAATTGTAATCTGACACACCCCCATAGGCAAAAAAAGGGGGCAGCAAACACAACAAGCGGTCACAAGACCAGTATGCAGAAGAGAACACAGCTCATGGTGGATCACAAATTCACCACGCATTCTGAGCACAAGCAAGTGGCCACAAGGCCAGTTCACATGCAGAGGTATATAATAGCAAGGCAGTACACTGATCACAACCTAGCAAGAGAAAACATGCAGGTATAAAGATATATAGCAGTGTACAACAAGAGCAAGTCAAGCAACCAACAGGTGAGGCAGATTGGGCACAAGCCCAAGAGCAGTGCAGAAACGGTGATGATCACCAGACCCAAGGGCCTTGGTGAAGACATCAGCAGTGTTGGCCCGAGAGGCCACGTAAGCAAGGTGCAGCTGACCACGCTGCTGCAGCTCACGCGCAAGGAAGTAGCGAAGAGCAATGTGCTTCGTTCTGTGCTCCAGTCTCTGCTCGCGACACAAGGCAAGCATTGCCTTGTTGTCGACGTACAGAACTGGAGGAGAACGAGGCCGCTCCCCCAAGTCGGTCAGCAGGTAGGTCAGCCAGCGTAGCTCCTGTGCAGCCATGGCCCCAACGTAGATCTCGGCCTCACAGCTGGAACCAAGCACAGAAGAAGAACGAGTTGACCTCCACGAGACAGAACCAGAGCCAAGACTGAAGGTGTAACCCTGTGACGAACGCTGAGTCGTCTGGTCGTCGGCCCAAGAAGCGTCAGAGTGTCCTGTGAGGACCACCGAACCCCGTCCTCCAAGCACGAGCCCCATGCCCGATGTGCTGCACAAGTAACGCAGTACCCTCTTCCCAGCATGAAAGTGCACCTTTCAGTGTCGACCAGGTGCCACGTAGCGAGCCAGGAGGCTGAGAGGGTACGCGAGGTCAGGTCGTGTGCACGTCATCAGGTACATGAGGCAACCCACAAGCTCTGGGTACGGACCACTCGGCTCTACGGACTCGTCCGAAGGTGGAGCTGAGAGAGAGTGGCCGGTAGACAGAGGAGTGGGCTGTGGCGAGGACCAAGTGAAGCGGAAGCGCTGAAGGACCTGGTGCACCATGTGTGACTGAGTGAGGGTGATGGTGCGCCGTGGTCTGTCCCGGGTGATCTGCAAGCCAAGATAGCTCCGCAGCTCACCCAGGTCAGTGCAGGTGTGTCTCTCCTGCAGCTCCGCCTTCACTAGGGCCAGTGCCTCAGTGTCAGCAGTAGCAAAAACCAAGTCGTCGACGTACACGAGGATGTAGAACGGCGGCAGAGTAGTGTCGGTGCGGAGAAACAGCGACGGGTCAGCAGTCGAAGGAGCAAACCCAAGAGCCGCAAGTGTCGTCCTCAGTGTGTCGTGCCACTCACGTGGCGCCTGACGCAGGCCGTACACTGGTCGCCGTAGGCTCCACTGGGTACCCTCAGGAAACGACCCAGTGAAGCCCTGTGGACGGCGCAACCAGATGGCCTCGTGAAGGCTACCCTGCAAGAAAGTTGTCGAGAAGTCGAGGGAGTGCAGCTCGTAGTCACGCTGAGCTGCAACGTGTAGCAACACCCGAAGAGTGGTCATCTTCGGGGTGGGGGAGAAGGTCTGAAAGAAGTCGACCCCCTCGCTGACTGAAGCCTCGAGCAACGTAACGGCGGCCGCTTCACCCTGAAAATCCACATGCCACTGACGATGTTCGCCCCAGGTGGGGGAACCTCGTCGACGTAGGTGCCTGTGGACTTCCAGGAAGCCATCTCTGCGTTCATGGCTGTCTGCCACTGAGAGGAGTACTCACCCGAAATCGCCTCCCTGTAGGAGCGCGGGGTGGGGATGTCAAGTGCATCCGGGTCTCCCTCAGGGGCAAGCAGCATGGTCGCGTGATGGGGTGAAGCGACAGCAAGGCACTCCAGCTCCTCCTGTCTGTCCTCAAGAACGTCACAGCCAAGGGCAGTACAGCCAAGAGCAGTCTCACCCCCGACGGACGGAGGACAGGCAGGGACAGGGTCAGAGACAAGACTCGCAAGGTAGTCTAGGCGGTACACAGCAGCAAAGTCAACGAGCTCAGCTACTAGGGCAGACGCAGCAGGAGACGAGAACGTATGGTCCGTCACAACCGTAGCAAGAAGGCGAGTAACAGTCGGACTGGACGCACGAGCAAGGTCAGACGAAGGGTCAGCAACGTCAGGCAGAGAGGACGCAGGAGGTAACGGTAGTACAACACGCTGAGGAACAGAGGAAGGACGGAGTGTCATATCGTGAGTGCCGGGGACAGCCGGAGCACGCGGACGACGAACATGAGGAACACGAGCACGGACAGCAGCTCTAGGCTCGGGCTCAAGGTCAAAGCTAGACTCAGGCTCTCGACGCTCAGGGGTGGAAGCACGAGTCTCAGGCTCTCGACGCTCAGTCAGGGACTCTGACACCGCAGTGTAAGGAGTAGGAGCAGGCAGTGGGGAGTGTGGTAGCAGCGGTGGCTGTGACTGGTCCACTGGCGGACACAGCAACGGAAGAGTAGTACCTGCCACAGGGAAGCCAGTAGCACCTGGCGGAAGACTGAGAAGGTGGCGAAGAGCACCAGTAGCTCCCGTACCTCCAGCACGAGCAGCTCCTCCAGTACCCCCAGCAACACCTCCAGCACCAGTAGCACCAGCACCTCCAGCACCACGAGCTCCGACAGCGCCAGCACCTCGAGCACCAGTAGTACCTCCAGCACCTCCAGTGCCTCCAGCTCCAGCTCCAGCGCCTCCAGCACCAGTAGTACCTCCAGTACCTCCCGTGCCAGCAGCTCCAGTAGCACCTCCAGCACCTCCAGCACCTCCAGCACCAGCAGCACCACCTGCTTCGGCAGCTCCAGCACCTCCAGTACGAGCACCTCCGGGACCAGTAGCTCCAGCACCTCCAGTACCTCCAGCACCAGCACCTCCAGGGTCAGCACCTCCAGCACCTCCAGCACCAGCAGCAGCTCCAGTACCCCCAGCACCAGCAGCACCTCCAGCACCAGCAGTACCTCTAGTACCTCCAGTAGTACCTCCAGCACCTCCAGCACCAGCAGCACCTCCTGGACTAGTAGCTTCAGCACCAGCCGGACCGTACCCTCCACCACCAGGACTGCCTCGCCGAACGACCCACGCACGAATCGCCTGCGGCGAGAGCGTCTCAAGTAGAGCAGGCTGCGGTGGCTGTCCAGCTCCAGTACCTCCAGTAGTGGTAGCTCTAGCACCTCCAGCACCAGAAGCACCTCTAGTACCCCCAGCTCCAGCACCTCCAGCACCAGCAGCAGCTCCAGTACCTCCAGTAGTACCTCCAGGCCTAGTAGCTCCAGTACCTCCAGCTCCAGGACCTCCAGAAGGACTCGCAGCACCCCCAGAGTCAGCACCCGAAGTCTCAGCACCCCTAGAGTCAGCACCCAAAGTCTCAGTACCCCCAGGCTCAGTACCCTCAGGCTCAGTACCCTCATTCCCAGCACCCGCACGCTCAGTGCCCTCAGTCCCAGCACCCGCAGGCTCAGTACTCTCAGTCCCAGCACCCGCAGGCTCAGTACACTCAGTCCCAGCACCCGCAGGCTCAGTACGCTCAGTCTCAGCTCCAGTGTCCACTGCAGAAGGCTGCAGAGGCGGGAAACCGGGGGGGTAGCCAAACGAGGAGAGCAGTCACCCCCAGACGTACCACTCCCAGGCCCAGCTCCAGCAGCCTCAGCTTCAGAGTCCACAGCAGCAGGCTGCGGAGGTGGCGAAGACGGCCGAGGCGGGAAACCCGGGGGGGTCTCCAAGCGAGGAGTGTGGCGAGTGGTCGCCGTGTCGTCGGCGACGGCGTCACCCCCCTCAGCTGAGTCAGAGGAGTCAGAAGAGATCTCAACTGGCTCATCCAAGGGGGGTGGGTCTACCTGGGACACACCTGAGGGAGCAGGACCCTGTGGGGGAAGGGGGTCTACCGAGGGGGGGGAATGGTACCAGGAAGAGAGGCGCGAGGGGGACCGGGTGGGACGCGTGTGGGTGAAGTCGGTAGTAACAGACCGACTCGTCGAAGGTGACATCCTGAGAGGACAGAATACGACGCGAGGCAGGGTGGTAGAACTGCCAGGGTGGAGCGTCGGTGGGGAAGCCCAGGAAGACACAGCAGAGAGTGCGAGGAGAGAGCTTGCTCGCTTTGGTATCGCGAACAAGGGAGAG